CTCTGTCTTTGACCTTGTCCATCTGCTCCATTGTGCACCTTTTCAGTTGATCCACGTGAACAATCCTGTTTCTTCTGGAATCCTTCAAATCTAACTCAACATTCTCGCTTGATATGACACGTTGTATTTTATATGGTCCAAGCCAATGTTGCAGATTTAAACCCGTACTTTGGCTTTTATCATAGTTCTTTAAATACACCATATCGCCAACTGAATACTGGTGATCTTCAGCTGTGACTCTTTTATCATCAACAGTTTTCTGTCCCTCTTTTTCTTTATGATTCAGCTCTCTGACCAGAGTATATGCTTCTCTCAGTGCATTTTCTCGTTCATTTACAAAATCGGTGGAGTACATCCAAGTTGGAGGTTTCATTCAATGCTCCTGGCGCCACGTTGAAATCCCTGCCGGTCATTAGGAACGCAGGTGTTTCTTTAGTAATCGTATGTGGGGTTGTCCTATAAGCCAACACAATGTCTCTTAAATGCTCGTCCCAGTCATCTTTCTTGCTGTTTGTATACATTGCCAATGCAGTTTTCAGGGTCCCATTGAACCTCTCTGTCATGCCATTACATTATGGCCGATATGGGGAGGTGTTTTTCAACCGAACTCCCATCTTCTTACAAGCTCTTTTAAATGTAGATGACATGAAATTTGACCCACGATCAGATAAAATTGTACATGGGTAGCCATAGTCCCCCGCAAACCTTTCGATGCATTTTGCTGTCGTCTCAGCACATATTTATGGAACGGCATAAGTAGCTGGCCATCTTGAGAATTGGCCTTGCATAGTTAGGACATACTTGTTACCACTTGTTGTTACAGGTAGCGGTCCAACATAATCGATTCCAACAAGTTCCAGTGGTCCAAATACTCTAATTGGTTTCAGTGGTGCATGTGCTCTGTTCTTTGGCTCTTTTCTTTCTGCACAGAGTGAGCAATTCTGTAAATGTCTACTGATGTCCCTCTTCATACTTTTCCAGAAGTAGGCCTGCCTTATTCTTGCAAACATTCTCTGAAATCTTGGATGTGCAGCTTCCTCGTGGTTCTGGACAAGAATCTTCCCTTTTTCCGATTTTGGCACAACCAGCTGTTTTCTCACTCGTAACTGTTTCCCCTTCCGAACAGGAGTCCACAAATGGTACAGTACGCCGTCTTCAATGACATATGGATTCTTGTGTCCTTCTGGCTCACTCCTGTCTTCTTGTGGGTGATTATTGCCATCACGTAAACGATACATCATTTCTGCACACTCTTCGTCTGCTTGTTGGCTGCTCATGACATCTTTTTCTGAAATGACTGCAACTTCCATCTTCGTTTCTTCAACAGGACATCTCGATAAGAAGTCAGCGTTACCATTGCATTTTCCAGGTCTGTATTTCACCTCAAAAGAATAGGCTTGCAGGTCACACATCCATCTTTCCATCTGAGCACTCTTTGGCTTCATTGTTTGCAACCATTTGAGGGGTCGGTGGTCCGTCACAATAACAAATGTTCTTCCGAACAGATAATGGTGGAAATACTGTAACGCCCATACGATCGCCAAGCATTCTTTCTGAATCGTTGAATAATTCCTTTCATTACTTGACAGCTGTCTGCTTGCATATGCTACCACTGCTTCGCCATCGACAAAGTTTTGCGCCAACACTGCTCCCAGGCCATAGTCACTTGTATCAATATGAACCACAAAATTTCGATCAAAATCTGGTAATCCAAAGACAGGTTCGGTAAGCAAGGACATTTTCAGATGCTCAAATGCTCTTTGCGCCTCTTCATTCCACTGGAATATCTTGGGCTGTCCACATGTTTTTGTCAGTTGTGTAAGTGGCTTCACGATGCTTGCTTAACGTATTCCATCCTCTGAAATGATGTGTCCAAGATATTTGACGCTTCTTTGTACCCACTGACACTTGCGGGGTTTCAACGTTAAGCCTGCCTTCCTGAGTCTGCTAAGAACAGTTTACTGTCGATCCATGTGCTCTTCAAATGTTCTTGAGAAGATGATGATATCATCTAAATACACCAGACAGTGTAGTGTGTCCAGTGAAGTCCTGTTAGAACGTAGTTCATCAGTCTCTGGAAACAAGCTGGTCCATTGACGACACCAAATGGCATGGTCTGAAATTCCCAATGCCCCTGTGAAGTCGAAAATGCAGTCCTTTCCTTATCTTCATCTTTTATTGGGATTTGCCAGTATCCGCTTTCCAGATCCAATGTGGTAAAATACTTTGCTTTGCCAAGTGCATCAAGGGTGTCATCAATCCTTGGAATAGGGTATGCATCCTTCTTTGTGACTGCATTCAATTTTCTGTTATCCACACAAAATCTCGCTGTTCCATCAGGTTTTGTGACCAAAACAACTGGAGAGGACCATGGACTTTTTGAAGGCTTTATGATGTCTGCAACTAGCATCTTTCGTACTTCTTCTTCTATGATCTTTCGCTTCGTTTCTGGTACCTGATATGGTCTTTGCTTTATTGGAGAAGCAGAACCAGTGTCAATACTGTGTTCCATCACCGTGGTTCGTCCAAGTTTTTTCTGCAGCAACTGCACTTTCGTTTAAAACATGGCACAAATGTTGTTTTTCTTCTGTGGAGAGATGCCCAATGTTTAGATCAGAAGGTCTTATCACTGTCATTGTTTTGTCCTTGACTTGTTCTGCTTTGATCTCCTGGAAAAGTTCCAACTCTGCCATTTCATCTCCTTGCTTCAGTTGAACTGGACTCTTCGTTGCATTCATAATCTCAAGTGCTACTCTTCCGTTTTTTCTACATTTGGTCAGCACACTTGCCACGTGGATCTTTGTTGTTGATTTTCCTGGTTGTCTCTCAGCAAACAGAAGCAGTCCTTCTTCATCCCCATTTATTTTGGCTTGTATCACCATAGCTCGCTCAGGGGGCACTAGCATATCTGTACACAAGAATGCGTATCTTTTCCCAGCCAGTTGGAAGAAAGGTACACATTTTCCATCGCTAAACACAACAGTCTTCGTATCATACTGAATACGTAGGCCATGCTTTGCCATGAAATCGTTGCCAAGGAGACACTGAAATCTGAAATTGTCTATGACCCTTACAGGAAATGTCACTTGAAGATGGCCAAGGTCCAGTATCATTTCCGTCTTTCCAATCACTTTCAAAGGGTCACCACTAGCTGAAACGAGTTGTACATTTGATTCTTGTAGATTGGCCTCGGGAAAAGCCTGGTCAAAAACTTCTTTGCTCACCACCGTCACCGCTGCTCCAGTATCCAGCATGAAGTCCACAGGAAAACCATTTATTTTTCCAGATACCCATGCACCTTCTCTCACCAAACGTTGCTCATGTATGGCATCATTGTCCAATGCAAATAATTGTATTTGTTTGTAGTTACAGGAGGCCAAGGTTTGATCTGATGAGAGTTCCCTCTTTTTCTCACCAGCTGATCCAACGGCTAGTCAGTCTCCCCCATTCTCCCTGTTCTGCCTTTTCGCTTCGGGACAACTTCTTTTCACATGGCCCGGCTTCCCACATATCCAACATTTGGCAATTCTTGGCTTTGTTGCATACTGTGCTGCGACGGAATTTGAATTTTTAGCAGCCAATCTTCTAACATCTTCCGTCAGTTGACCAATAGCCTTCCATAAAGAATTCAAATCATTGCCCTGAGTTTGTTGTTTTTCCACGGGAGCCATTGTTTGCTTTCTTTGCTTGTTAGCTGAAATTCTGTAGTCTTCACCCTCGGAGTCTTCGTGAAGCATTTCTTCTAAGGCTGCCAGAATTCTTGTTTTCCTTGGCATAGACTCTGAATCCAAAAACATCTCCCGCGTTTGTGCTTCGAGGACAGCGTCCTCAAACTCCTTCAATCTTCTTCCCCATAACAATTACTTTATTTCAGGCTTTAGGCCATTGATGAAGGCTTCACACGCCGCTTCGTTGAATCAGTCTGCTGGGAAACTTTTCCTGGCCAATGTTTCGACAGCCTCAGCATATTCATTCACGCTTTCTCGTGACCTCTGCTTTCTTTCCGCTAAAGCTCCTCTTGCTAACAGGCGCATGTCTTCATTGTTGAAATAGTCTTCTAACCTGTTTTTTAACTGATCTAAGTTTCCTTTTAACTCTTCACTCTGTCTTGCGAACCACCTTCGAGCATTGTCCTTTAAGTAGAGTGGAAGTCTCCGCAGCTCATCTTCTGCATCCCAATCGTTTACTCTGGCCGCAAGTTCCCAGTGCTCCAACCAATCATTTACATCATCACTTCGACGTCCCGCAAAGTATTGGATGTCCACAATCGATCGCTTAGTGTTTCTCCTCGTTTCCCCAGAATATTGTGATGTTTCAGGTGACCTTGGACTCCCTTGCTGAGCTTCCTGTCTGCATGGAGAGGAAAGCATCACTGTTATGTCACTGCGACGTCTCCCGAACGGTTCGTTTATTTCCCGTGCTTCTTCAGATGCTGCGTAACCAGCGTCTATGGAATTCCTGCGCTGCGACATCTAAACTAGAGATTTTGGATCCCACCCCTGTCATCAGTTATGTCACACCCAACCACGCCCAATAGTTTCAGGAATGTAACACAAAATATAGAGAAGATAAAATACTGAAGTTATCAATGTGAAAGTATAATATTAAATACTAATGTAAATAAGGTAACGGGACTCAAGCCAACGTTCTCAGAAAATACCCTGCTGACCGGCCTCAGAGCTCCCCGCTCACATCTGTCTCTGCATCTTCAGCTACCCCCTTTTATACAAGTTAAGGTTTACATGTCCAAAATAGAATGCTTAGATACGATAAACAGTTTTCTTAACAACCGTGACGATTACAAGATATTTCAAAGGAATTACGTAAAATCAAGCAGCGTTATCTCGTTTTGTTGCTGTGGCCACAGCGTCTATTGTCAACAGTCCAGTCAATCCTAAAAATATCTAATTACAGCAAGCCTGCACAAAAGCATTGCATCAGCGCTAAAAGTAAACACATTACATATCAGATTGGGGCTCTGTCTACACGGATACGTTTTGGGTGGGCGCTGCGGGAATTTCGCCTTTGTTCTACATTCTCAGCGCAGTAGCATTTTGTTATTTTGCCAAGGAAGCCATCTAGGCGCCAAATCCGAAGCTTTCAGGGAACAAGAACTTTGCGAAATTATAACTAAACTAACTCAGTATGGGGAAAGAGAAAACCAAAGAAGATATTTTTACATGGACTGATCAGGAAATCGAACTGTTACTGGAAACAGTAAAGGCTTATTCTTCGCAATGCTCATACGAAGGAAAGGATTGGGAAAGCATCAAATCAAAATATGACAAGATAAAAGAATTGTTTATCGAAAGGTACCCAAAAGAATCAGAGGAAGAATTCCCAAAGTTGTCTGTTCTTGACAGTATAACTAAAGAGAGAGTGGCCGCAAAAGTGAAGAAGCAGTTGCGTGTCAAGTACAAGAAGGCTGTCGACTTTGGTAAGAGAAGTGATGGAGAACGTATCATAATGACCTACTACGACCTATGCATGGATATATGGTCCGGTTCACCATCCACAAACAGCATTCAAGGCAAGTATTGTATAGATGTGTGTTGAATAGTTTCTTATGATAAGCCATTAAAAATTGTTCCAATAATGTAACTTTTCACCTGCCCATGCATACAATAATTATGCAAATTTTGTTATGTCATTCTATTATGCTTTCAGTGGTAAAAGATTATTCCTGGTAAAAATATAATCAAAAAACTTTATATTTATAGGAGGTATTGATACTAGTTCACCAGAGGACAGTAAGTCGAATCTGGGGATATATCCATTGAAGAAGACAGTGCTTTCCAGGATGAGAATGCTGAAGAAATCATTGGAATAACAGGGGTAATGCAGAAGATAGACAGGAAGTTAGTGATAGTTCAAATGAGCCACAAAGAGTGGACAGGCGAGAAAAAATATCTAAATTTTTGAAAGATCGAAAAGAAAAAAATATGATGTCCAAAAAATCTTTTGAAAGCCAGCAGTTGAGTTTGATGAGAGAAGATGTTTCTCTGAAGTGAAAATTTGCTGAACAGGCTGAACCAATGGACAAAGAATTTTTGCAAGATGCAAAGAAAATGACAACTTCAATGGAGCGCATGATAGAGGCAATGACAGGGTGCATGGAATTTATGCAAAGAATGTGCACAATGCAGATGCACCAACAAAACATGTTGTTAGGGAATCAAAATGCCATGAATTACATCTTGTCCCCTTCATCAAGCCCTAAATTCAGTTTTCAACAGCAAGGTCTACAACGTAATGTTGCTCAATCTTCAAGCAGATCAACAAGAAATGAAAATGTAGAGTCATTCTTGAATTTATTAAATAGCTAGTGAACATTGTTATATTTATCTTAACAGAAAAAAACGTGTTTCTGAAAGAAAGATTCAAACAGTGTATTTTTCTGATTTTGTTGCATATTAAGTTGGTTAGTGTTTAACAGTTGAATATCTTTTTCCCTTTTCATTCAAAATATTTCATAAAGATTTTTCTGTTTTTCTTTCCATCTGACTCATTACTATCACTATTTGCAAACTGAGGCTGGAATGCATTGTCATAGTTTTCTGCTACTATTTGACTCATATCTGCAATACACTAATTATTCATCTCGCAAAAATTATGGAGGATAAAACATGCAAGTACAGTTTTTGGGACAGATGCAACATTAATATCAATTGGCTTTCTCAAAATACTGAATCTTGATTTCAACCATCCATTCATCCTTGCAGATGATAATTTGTACCCGAAAAATTGCTCTTCCTGGGTATTGCCACCTTTAGGGAATTCTTTCATTACATATGGAAGCAAAGGGTAAGCAGGATCCCCCAGCAAGCACACAGGAACAGAATCTTCACCTTGCACAATTGCTCTTGGACATTTTGGTATCATTCCATCTCTCATCATTTCATTGATCTTAGAATTGCTGAATACTCCTGCATCATGTACACTTCCAGGCCATCTAATGTCAACATCAAAGAACAATATCTATAATCGACGCAAGCCTGAGCATTCAAACTGTAGAAACCTTTATGGTTTATAAAGTCGATAGGATTATCTGGGGATTTTTTGATTAGAATATGGGTTCCATCAACAGCCCCAATGCACTGAGGAAAGCCAAAAGCATTGTAAAAACATGAAGCCATCTCCTGGACTTGTTCTTCTGTTTTTGGAATACTTATGTATTTTTTCACAAGGTGTGTTGAAATTGCTGTAGTCACTCTGCTGACAGTTCTAGAAACTGTTGGAACTGCACAGCCAAATGCATTGGCAGTTTTTTGCATCCGACCTCCATCAGACAAATAATAAAGCGTCAGAGCTAACTGTTTTTCAGGTGACATAGGAATCCTCATGTTGGTTGTTTGCAATGTGATGAATGGACGAAGTTCTGAACAAAGTTTAAAAAAGTTCGTTCGTGAAATTCTTAAATTTTTCTTCCATCGATTATCCATGGATATCCCATTCAACAGGTTTAGCCACCAAACATTCGCCCTTCCTGGATTCTCCCAAAACCTTCTATTTGCTCTTTTTTTCTAACTTTACTAACTGCAGGCCTAGACGACAGTGAAATCATTCTCAATAAACTTTTTCTTCTGGCAATATAGCACATGTATAAATTGTTAAACATCTGGACATTCAAGGCCATAGCATTCGCGATACTTGTGATTATAGTCATGAGAGAGCTGATTGTCGAGTTGTAGGCGTCCATCTTTGAATATTTTGTTTTTAAAAAAGGCGCCAAATGTGCAAATGAACACGAGATTGTTTCTGATAATGAGGCATCGTTTTCATTTCATATCGTATTCGGCTGTTTACACGAGAACAGAGGCATATCGGATTCATTTGAAAACGCAAAAACGGTATGAAGCATATCGGATTCATTCGTTCTCGTGTTAACAGAAGGCCAATCCGATATCAAATGAATCGAATGATTTCCGAATGATTTCTTGCAGTCATCGTCTTTCATTAAAAATAATTTAGTATTTTTTCAGCCATACTTGTGTTAAGTTAAATTCAATTCTTTATATTGACTTCTTTACTTTATGAGGTTTCTTTCATCTGGTGGCCGTAGGGCATTTAATCATCCCTTTCCCTGCTCTTTGAGACCCTGCATATATGTTTACCCTGCGTTTGTGAAAAATATGGAAAATTTTCTAGCTTTGACGATAAAGTTAGCTTTAACATTGCACGCTTATACCGTTTATCACTGCACAAATTGGTTATCAAAACTAGATATACGTATCTTGGATCGACAGGTTAAACGTCTGTAAATTATCTGAAGAAAGCCCACCGTCCCCCTTCCCCCACCGCCCCCCTTCTCCCTTAACACATTTGAAAATTCAAATTGCAAAAAGGTTTAAATGTTTCTTCTGCAAACGTAATTCTACTGTAAATAAGCGAAATAGAGAACCCGTAGAAAACGAGTTTTGTCCCAAAGAGTTACCGTCTTAAAGACCTTTACATGGTATTTCGCATCTCCAGATCTCTGACAAGAGCGTAAATTGGGACCACGGTAACCGCCTACGACACAAAATATTTGTGTCAAAGATTGGAAAATAAAACAATCCATGAAGATCAATAAGAAGTTTCTTCACTGCAAGCAAGCCAGATTTGCAAAAACTATTGCAAAATATTTTCACTCGCCACGAGAAACCGGTTTGAAAAAAAATGACTTAGGTGAAATATCACCTTTAGGTGAAGATACTGCTTATCGCTTTCCAAAGAAAAACTACAACAGGTTAGTATTTAGATACCCCTGCTTGTTTTCCAATGACACCAGTAACTGAAAAGTTGCCAATGACTTTTGAAAACATTTGGAAACATTTTGATAACAAATCATAACTTTCATTTTCAAATCATTTCATAGACGTTTGTTGCTACGGAAACTAGAAAATAGCGTTTCTTCTGTCACTATTATAATTAAAGCTAATTGCAATGAAATGCGAAATTGAAAAATGTACAATCTGAAAAACAAGCTGCATACTAAGATTCATGTTATAACCCCTTGCTCTACTGCTCCTTTAAAATAGACATGGTAAAATGACAGCATAACATACTCTCCAACGTTTGCTATGATTTCGAGGACCTGACCTGTCTTGTTGGAATGCTAGACATGGTACATCAGATGGTACTACCAACTTACTTAAAGAAGCACATAAAGAATCACGCAGCAGCCTCGCCAAAGCAGAACCCGCGTCACTCGGTTGGGGCAAGGAGTGCAAATGCAACATTTAAGATTTGAATGAAAGATTTAAATCAGCGCAAATGTTCATCAAAATCCACACGTAAACAGTGTCAGCAAAAATTTTACTACAACGGGGACTAAAGAGGTTAAGAGGACAATTTCATAACATTGCTTGCTCTCAGATTTAGAACTGGTGGCGCGGGCCCTACATAGTCTCCATTAAACTACAATTTTTAGTATAAAGTTGTTATTTCAGTTCTTTGCATCATCCTGGCTGAGTTTGTTCGCAAATGTCTCTCTTTTATCACCATGAGGTGATTCCCCAAGTATGGCTACTAAATCGTCATAGTTGAGGATTTCCTTGCTCAGGAGTTTTGCAGCAAGCTACAAAAAAGATGAAATGAATAACAAAACATGCATGGGGTGTCATTCCGGGCAGAAATGTAAAAAACCGTTGGTACTTGCAAAAAAAACTAGCTCGTCGAATAACATTCTTAGTTTGAGTTGACTAAATATATTATTAAGGTGTGATGCACTGTTACAACTGGGATTTGATTGACACATCGCTTCACAATGAACAGGGGTTTGATCGACAAGTGCTGTCGCAACGAACAGAGACTTGATTTACATGAAATATAACAAAGATTATGGATTTGATTGACATGTACTGTCACAATGAACAGGGGTTTGATTGACATGTACTGTAACAAAGAACAGAGACTTCATTTACATGTACTATAGCAAAGATTATGGATTTGATTGACATGTACTGTCACAATGAACAGGGGTTTGATTGACATGTACTGTAACAAAGAACAGAGACTTCATTTACATGTACTATAATAAAGATTATGGATTTGATTGACATGTACTGTCACAATGAACAGGGGTTTGATTGACATGTACTGTAACAAAGAACAGAGACTTCATTTACATGTACTATAATAAAGATTATGGATTTGATTGACATGTACTGTCACAATGAACAGGGGTTTGATTGAAATGTACTGTAACAAAGAACAGAGACTTCATTTACATGTACTATAACAAATATTATGGATTTGATTGACATGTAGTGTCACAATGAACAGGGGTTTGATTGACATGTACTGTAACAAAGAACAGAGATTTCATTTACATGTACTATAACAAAGATTATATTTGATTGACATACACTGTCAATGAACAGGGGTTTGATTGACGTGTTGTTGCTTCTCTTTCCTTGTTTGTTTTTCTTTACATAAAATTTAATAGTTGTCGCTTAATCATGTTCGTACTGTTACTTGTTGTTACTGTTAATTAATTAATTAATTTTCTTTTTTTTCGTAAAAAGCTCTAATTTGTCATTTAGACGTAAAGAGCTTATTTAAGTATTAAATTGTACTTTAGTTAATTTAATTGATGATGATGATGATGATGATGATGATGACTCTTTCATTGATTGACATGTACTGTAACAACGACTAGGGATTTGATTGACATGTACTGTCAGGGCGTTTGATTGACATGTACTGTAACAACGACTAGGGATTTGATTGACATATACTGTCACAATGAACAGGGATTTCATTGTAATGTCTTTTTATACAGTTATACAACATGTTACGTTTTTAACTTTGACCAATCGTAACTTTGATAGCCACATGTGAAGGCATCAGACAATTTAAGTGTTCTTGTGATGCAAACAGGTATGAAGAGCCCTACAAGTGAAGGACTTTCCGATTTCACCTACGACGTAGACATAGCTTAAACTAGATTTTATCAAGAACAGCGAAGCTTGTTAAGAGTAAGATAACCTCTTCAAGCATCTCTTCGTTTCTCTTGATTATTTCTTCTGTCTTCTCGTAGGCCACTTTGACCAACGAACTGGCCTCCTAAAAGAAAAAGCCCATCAGTGCGCTCAAATATTGATGTTTTATGCAACATAATAAAAGGATGTTTATGACGCGGTGAAGCGAGTTGATGATTATCTGGCCTAAAAGACAATTTATGGACAAGCAAAGAGATGGTTAAATCGCTTTTATATCGTAATCATACTATAAATTTCAATGAACAATTCATTGAAAGTTATTTCTAGATATTCTCTTAATGGCACGTGACAAAAAAAGAAAGATTTCGGGAATAACATTTGTGGTTCAATCTTGAGCTATATATGACGTTTAGATAAATATACAGCATAGGGACTTGTAAGGCTTCTGGCCATCTGAATCTCGTTTTGTGATAGCATCAAACTCTGAAATGTTCGAAGATAACTGATTGCTGACAAAGTTTGATGCAAAGACAAAAAGAAATAAGCCAATAGAGAATAAGGCTAGCCTCACCGACAGTGTTTTGACCAATTAGAGCCTTTTAAAGTGCCTATGCAGCGAAATTTACCGTTCCAATATTTTAAAAGAAATCTATAGAATCCTTCGCCCTTGTTCTTATACAAAAAACAGAATTCCGATAAGTTAAATGGTTCTTTTATTATTGAGTGTCAAAGTATGCATATTTTGCAGTTGCGTTGCGAAATTTTATTTCCCGCTGTGACGTCACAGTGATGAGTCGAGGCAAAACCATTTAGACAGGTCTGTTAAATCACTTATTGGGTCGAATTGTGCAAATTGTGATACTAGCATGAAACTTTGCAATAATGGACAGTTTGATACGCTGAAAAAGATAGGATAGGGAACCGAAATGAAAATTGCCCCTTTCAGCTATTTTTAGCTGGGGTACTTTGCCCCAAGACTCTAGCGGCGATATTACGATATCTCTGCTGTAAGTGAGTACAATAACATGAAACTTTGTAACAAGTGACAATCTGATACGCTAAAAATGAAAGGAGCAAGACCCCAACTTGAATTTGCCCCCTTTTCTATTTTTAGACTGGGGTACTTTGCCCTAGACCTTTATTGACGGTATTATCATATCTCTGTCTCACTTTGGTGGAATAGCATGAAACTTTGCAATAAGGGGCAATTTAATTCGCTTAAAAAGATAGGATATGGACCCTCTCCATGAAAATTGCTCCCCTTGTTCTATTTTTAGAGTGCAAGTTATGAATAGGAACTATATCACATCTTTCTCAGCGTATCAAACTGCCTTTATATTGAGAATTTCCGTTCTCCGTTTATAGCCAGTGGTAGAATTAGGGGTCTGAATCAGAGTACCCCAGTCTAAAAATAGAACTTAGGGGCAAGATATGATTTGGTTCGATATCCAATCTTTTTCTGCATGTCAAACTGCCTTTATATCGAGAATTCCAAGTTTCTATGACCTGGCGTTCTCCGTTTGTGGCCAGGGGTCTGGATCAGAGTACCCCAGTCTAGAAATAGAATTTAGGGGCATTAAATGAATTGGGTTTATTTTACATCTTTTTCGGCTCGTTTAACTGCCTTTATATTGTGAATTTCAACTTTCCATGATTTGGAATTCTCTGTTTACGGCCAATTGTACAACTAAGGGTCTGGAACAGAGTACCCCAGTCTAAAAATAGAATTTAGGGGGCATCATATGATTTGGGTTTATTTTATATTTTTTTCGGCTCGTTAAACTGCCTTTGTATTGTGAATTTCAACTTTCTATGAACTAGGATTCTCTGTTTATGGCAAATTGTACAATTAGGGGTCTGGACCAGAGTACCCCAGTCTAAAAATAGAATTTAGGGGAAATTATGAATCGGGTCTACATCACATCTTTTTTTTCTAGTTAAACTGTCTTTTTATTGTGAACTTCAACTTTCTATGGCCTGGCGTTCCCCGTTTATGACCAAAGGTACAATTAGGGGTCTTGACCGGAGTACCCCAGTCTAAAAATAGATCTTATGGGCAAGATATGATTTGGGTCTATATCATATCTTTTTCAGCGTATCAAACTTGGTGTTTTCTGAAATTTTGATGCTTGTACCACCATTTGCACAATTCTCCTTCATATCTCCGTCATTAGAAATTATTCTGTATGTAATATAGGTACTTATTTCATTTTAGGTCAGTCTTGCGTTTATGCTTATATTTGTTCATGCTTCTATTTGATTAGGAAATATTAGCGTGTCGCGCTTTAGTTTTTCATGTTTTCCGGTATAGTAATATTTTACATGCCCTTTTGCTCTACAAAGTTCCCCCGCGTATCCTAATATATCTAACACCTCCTACTAGTTCATTTACGTATTGCACGATAGATACCGACAATAACACCGGCAATTATTGATATTAGTTTGCTATATTGTAATGCTGTTATATAAAGTAGAGTACGGAGAAAGAGTTAGTTAGTTAGTTAGAGAGAAGCGTGGTGCTTGCGAAAGGCCACTGCTATCAAACTTGTAAAAGTTAACGTTTTTATGATTTGTATTCGTGAGAAGCAAATCTTGTGTTTTATTTAGCATTTTCTACCGCTCGGAAAATCATTCTAGCCAAATATACGAAGTCCCTCACACTGGTGACAGTTGAGTTGGATACAGATTCAGTTAAAATTGTTGGAACTCGCGAACCAAGACCGAAAGAACACGATCGTAAGTTGTAAATAAAAGAACATTTTGTATACTGCTACGTATTTTTCTTTACGCTTCAATTGCTGACTATATATATACTACCGTGTACATAAACTTTCGAATAAATCTAAATCATGAGTAAAGGTGGAGCCAAAGCGAAGCATCAGTTCGAAGACAGTGGTCGAAACGTCATCAATCCACCGAAATTTTACGGCGAAACTGGCGAAGATGTGGAAAAATGGCTGAAAGCGTTCGAGAGATCAGCAAGAGCTAACGGGTGGACACAAAAAAAGACAGATAGATGTGCTTCCTGCATTTTTAAGAGAAAGAGCCGCTGACTTTTGGGATGAGCTTCCAGAAGAAGTCCAGAACGACTTGGGATTGCTAAAAGAAGCCCTACAAAATCATTTCCTACCGAAGGAAGCGAGGAGGCTTTTCTATTCAGACCTTTTCACAAGAAAACAAGGGGAAGAAGAGTCAGCGAACGATTTTGGACGAGACATACAGCATTTGGTACGGAAAGCGTATGCCGACATGCCCGCCCGACACCAAGACACCCTCATGAGAGAGCACTTTGTGAACGGACTACGCCCATCTTTGAGACGACTAGTGCTGATCGCAGACCCTAAACGGTTCGAGGATGCCCTTTCTACCGCGAGAAGGGAAGAAATCCACGACCAGGTGGTAAGTGGAGCTGCACCATGGGTGAAGCCGGACAAAAAGGAAACCATTGTCAGTCCAGTCCCGGTTGCGTCAGTCCAAAGCGCGGAAACTGACATGACGAAACGCATAGATCGCTTGGAGGCTATGATGGAAAAACTGATGTCCGCTAACATAGAACAACGCCAAACAAGAACTAGGAGCCAGATGAGCAGAGATTTGCGCTGCACGGATGGCAGACCGATATGCGGTTTTTGTATGAAAGTTGGACATTCAGAAACAGCATGTTTCAAGAAACAGGGACGCCAGAACCAAAAAAACTGAATTACGCTACCCACGACGCAGACCTGAGGTGTGTGGTAGCTGATAAGGACAAAAATCCTCAGAATGGTATTAGTGTAAATTCTCTATTTAATGAATCATGTCAGTGTGTAACTTTTAATGCAAAGATTGGAAGTTACGACACACCAATTGTATTAGATTCGGGATCAGGTATTTCAATCATAAGTAGCGATTTGTTTAGCAAAGTTAATCGCAATTCTCGCAACCCTCCCATTCTCACTAATCGTAACATTGTAGCTAAGTCTGTTACGGGAGAAGAATTGCTTATTCTAGGCAGTACCACGGTAACCTTGGATTTAGGAGATAGTTGTTGGATGGTTGAGTGTTACGTTGTAAGTAATTTTAAGTACTCTTGCTTACTTGGTACCGACTTTTTGACCAAGTCAAGCGCAACCATAGACTTAGGCAACTTACAGGCTTGCATTGGTCAGACTAGGATACCTATCAGCGTTGTTAGGAAACCCCAGCAGGTACAGGTTAATCTTGTAGAATCGTTAGAGATCCCCGCACGTAGTGAAGCCATTTTAAAGGGAAGTATCGAAGGGTTGCAAGGTACAGTCCTACTTGAGCCAAAATATGAATTATTTTGTAAGAATGAATCTGTTGTTTACCCTGCACGAAGCATTGCTCCCGTAGAGAACGGAACTATCCCTGTTAAATTGGTAAATACTAATAACTTTCCAGTCAAAGTTTTTTCAGACACTTGTGTAGGAATGGCCGAAATCGTGGATGGAAAGATCAATGGAGGACAGAAAGTCGGTGAGTCTTTTAATTCTGACTTCAAATGGCTAAATGATATTGACATGTCTGATTCTACATTACTCGGTGATGAAAGGTCTCGTTTAATTTCACTTCTGACGGAATATGAAGACGTTTTTGTAACCAAGGATATAGATTTAGGTAGGGCTGATAGGTTTTCGCACAGAATAGATACGGGGGATACCCCACCCATAAGACAAAGGCCATATAGAACTCCCCATAGCCAACAAGAAATGGTCGATAAGCACATAGATAGTATGCTGCAGACTGGTATTATTCAACCGTCTGATAGCCCGTGGTCACAACCTTTAGTGATTGTACCTAAGAAGGATGGGTCCCCACGCTTTTGTGTTGATTTTAGAAAATTAAATTCCGTGACCAAAAAGCAAATTTTACAATGGTGACAGTAGAAGTGGGATTATATGGTGCTGGAAACAGACCAGAACCCAGATTCACGAATCAGTTTAGGACATGTACCTCAAGATGGAAGGCGACGAACAACTGTTCACGAGACGACAGTTCGAACACCCTGCATACCATCCAGAGATGCATAGTCAAACCCAGTAGCTGGCAAATATCTCAATCACAGGACTTGTCGATTTCTAGTTTACGGACACAAAATATTCATTGGACGTTTAATTAATTTTTCATTAGATTCACTTTAAGAATCGAGGACGATTCATTTTCCTTGATAGGGAGGTATGTAATATAGGTACTTATTTCATTTTAGGTCAGTCTTGCGTTTATGCTTATATTTGTTCATGCTTCTATTTGATTAGGAAATATTAGCGTGTCGCGCTTTAGTTTTTCATGTTTTCCGGTATAGTAATATTTTACATGCCCTTTTGCTCTACAAAGTTCCCCCGCGTATCCTAATATATCTAACACCTCCTACTAGTTCATTTACGTATTGCACGATAGATACCGACAATAACACCGGCAATTATTGATATTAGTTTGCTATATTGTAATGCTGTTATATAAAGTAGAGTACGGAGAAAGAGTTAGTTAGTTAGTTAGAGAGAAGCGTGGTGCTTGCGAAAGGCCACTGCTATCAAATATGTAGACACTAACTCACACACACACACAGAACGGTAATGGATGGAAAGGCTAAGAGAGGGCTGATGGCATTCAACCCGAGTGGCTTGTGAAAGCACTCGAGGTTTCGTTTCATATATATATAATTTAATGGCGTAACAGTGCTTGTGAAAGGCTGTTTAGTACCTAAGTTTCGATATTGTGTAAAAGTACGTCTTAGCTTTGGATGGAACAAAAGGAATTGATTTTGTGTGTCAAAACGTGTCGTTTATTCGCTCGGTCAATCGCTCAAACAACGAATGGTGTCAGAAGTTTTACAAATGTATATACCAGCAGCAAATTTTACATGTACAACCGCAGTTTCCTGATTGCTGTGGCCCGACTCATCAGTGTGACGTCACAAACTGGCCTTGATTTTCGCAAGCACTACCTAATTTCAAACTCTGATTACACACACTTTTGCTGGTCAAATAATGACAATTTTGGTGTCAAACGTATCAGAAAAGATAGGAAAATATAACTCTCAAAAAAAAGCAGGACATAAAATTTCGCTGCATAGACACTTTAACAAATAATGTTAACTTCACGAAGATTAAAAATTCAATAGGAACAGACTCAATTTTTTCGTATTCAAGTTTACATATTTTCGGGTCTCCTTCATTATACAGAAATATAGACAAACTTGTCTGGTTATAATACGCTTTCCTTAAATATGTGATTTGGGTTTTTCAAAAATCTAGATTTTGACGTTTTTGTTTATATAAATGGTTGAATGGTTTTTACCTAGACAATAAATTCGAATACAACATTCAGGAAGATGTCTGCTTCATGGAAGCTTTACCCCATACATGGCTTAGCTTCCATGCAATAACAAATTACGAAGTTTTGAAAAAGATGATTCAATATTTGATGAATTCAAATCTCTATCAAAAGAGAATGCTGTTTTTAAAGAATTTGTAATGGAAAACATGTCTAATGATTAAATAACCCGCTCACTGTTCCATAGAATATTATATGTCTATCAATTGAACTAACTAATTGTTTTGTAACTACAGCCATCTATTTATAAAATCCATGCGTTTGACTTGGTGGCATAAAACATACAATACAAACAAAATACAAACAGCGACAAATGGTCAAAAATCTTCACAACCACCTTCAAGAGTCTCTTATCTTCGACAATGGTTTCAATATAGGAAAAATCTTTTTCACATCATTGAAAATTCTCTATAGGACCACAACTGTGATCGTAAACGAGTACTGCAATTCACCTCAGCAAAATGAAACTTGAATACACATTGTTGATCCTTGTTTCTTATAAAAAATGGATTTATCTGGCCTGCGTCTACCTGAACATTTTTCATATTGTGGGCCTGATTATGGACACCCCGCAAATTTTGGGGATACATTCTGATCCTTCGGCTTAGAGCATTCCATCCTTCAGCTCAAGCATAAAATTCTGATCTTCATAACATCTAGCTGTTCTGATTGCTGATTCAAGTAAGGATCTTGTTCTTCCCAATGTTCTGAAGTCTCTCTTAGCTGCCGCTGGGCAAAGTTATTCTGTTATGGGAAACTACGGCGATCAGTGGTTAGAAATTAGCTTAGTAATATTAAGTAGCTCTCAAGAAAACCACGAGTACTTCATATTCGCCTTTGGATTAAGAAACTGGAGCACTACATTCTTGTTGCTTATTAAATAAATGGGTTTATAAAAATGCCTGATGATCGCATTAAGCGGAGTGGCAACAAAGAACGTAGATTTATAACAAGATGAGAAGCTGTCACCTCGTCTATCATTCTGGCCAACTTATCGCTGTATGGCTTTTTTCCGTAATCTGTATTCTTCTTCAATGGAAAAGATATAGGACCAATGCGAGAATTCATGCCAAAGGTGACAATCTGAAAATGAAGATACTTTTCTAAAAAAAAAAATTTACAAAGAAAGAAAAACACATATAACTACAAAACAACGACTGCACCTTCCAAAATAGTGTTATCAACCATATTGATAGCCAGCCAACCAACGATAACAAAATAATTAACACGAAAACCAGCATGGCTTCTCTGACTTTCTCCTTCTTCTACACGGCCACTGTGTTAATATTGAAATCAGAGCTGTATCGATTGGAGATCATCATGGCAGCAAAGTATCATGCACCGTAGATAAAATGTCTTCTCTTAAATTCTCCTTCCATTGAAAAATGGCTCAAGGAAGAAAAACCAATCTTGTAATTCTTTAAAAGGTCTAACACACCTATTACAAACAAATCCAGAATCATTACTATGTGGCAACCATATGTTGACGAGCCTGACAGCAACTTCAACACGACAAGATTAACATCGAACACGGCGAGATAAAGCACCATTCAATGCACCATTCAATGCAAGAACGTACAAAGAAATGGATCGAGCCTGACAGCACCTTCAACACGACAAGATAAACATCGAACACGACGAGATAAAGCACCATTCAATGCACAATTCAATGCAAGAACGTACACAGAAATGAATCGAGCCTGACAGCAACTTCAACACGACAAGATTAACATCGAACACGACGAGATTAAGCACCATTCAATGCACCATTCAATGCAAGAACGTACACAGAAATGAATCGAGCCTGACAGCAACTTCAACACGACAAGATTAACATCGAACACGGCGAGATCAAGCACCATTCAATGCACAATTCAATGCAAGAACGTACACAGAAATGAATCTAGCCTGACAGCAAATTCAACACGACAAGATTAACATCGAACACGACGAGATAAAGCACTATTCAATGCACAATTCAATGCAAGAACGTACACAGAAATGAATCGAGCCTGACAGCAAATTCAACACGACAAGATTAACATCGAACACGACGAGATAAAGCACTATTCAATGCACCATTCAAAGCAAGAACGTACACAGAAATGAATCGAGCCTGACAGCATCTTCAACACGACAAGATAAACAACGAACACGACGAGATAAAGCACCATTCAATGCACCATTCAATCCGAGAACGTGCACAGAAATGAATCGAGCCTGACAGCACCTTCAACACGACAAGATTAACATCGAACAAAACGAGATAAAGCACCATTCAATGCACAATTCAATGCAAGAACGTACAAAGAAATGGATCGAGCCTGACAGCACCTTCAACACGACAAGATTAACATCGAACACGACGCGATGATTCAATGCACCTTCGTACACATCGACAAGATTAACATCGAACACGACGCGATAAAGCACCATTCAATGCACCATTCAATGCAAGAACGTACACAGAAATGGATCGAGCCTGACAGCAACTTCAACACGACAAGGTTAACATCGAACACGACGCGATAAAGCACCATTCAATGCACCATTCAATGCAAGAACGTACACAGAAATGGATCGAGCCTGACAGCACCTTCAATACGACAAGATTAATATCGAACACGACGAGATAAAGCACCATTCAATGCACAATTCAATGCAAGAACGTACAAAGAAATGGATCGAGCCTGACAGCACCTTCAACACGACAAGATTAATATCGAACACGACGAGATAAAGCACCATTCAATGCACAATTCAATGCAAGAACGTACAAAGAAATGGATCGAGCCTGACAGCACCTTCAACACGACAAGATTAATATCGAAAACGACGAGATAAAGCACCATTCAATGCACCATTCAATGCGAGAACGTACACAGAAATGGCTCGAGCCTGACAGCACGACTTCAACCACGACAAGATACACAGAAATGAATCGATCGACGACACGACGAGATAAAGCACCATTCAATGCACACATTCAATGCGAGAACGTACAAAGAAATGAATCGAGCCTGACAGCAACTTCAACACGACAAGAGTAAAATCGAACACGACGAGATAAAGCACCATTCAATGCACAATTCAATGCAAGAACGTACACAGAAATGAATCGAGCCTGACAGCAACTTCAACACGACAAGATTAACATCGAACACGACGAGATAAACCACCATTCAATGCACCATTCAATGCAAGAACGTACACAGAAATGGATCGAGCCTGACAGCAACTTCAACACGACAAGATAAAAATCGAGCACGACGAGATAAAGCACCATTCAATGCACCATTCAATGCGAGAACGTACACAGAAATGAATCGAGCCTGACAGCAACTTCAACACGACAAGATAAACATCGAACACGACGAGATAAAGCACCATTCAATGCACAATTCAATGCAAGAACGTACACAGAAATGGATCGAGCCTGACAGCAACTTCAACACGACAAGATTAACATCGAACACGACGAGCTAAAGCACCATTCAATGCACAATTCAATGCAAGAACGTACAAAGAAATGAATCGAGCCTGACAGCAACTTCAACACGACAAGATTAACATCGAACACGACGAGATAAAGCACCATTCAATGCACCATTCAATGCAAGAACGTACACAGAAATGAATCGAGCCTGACAGCACCTTCAACACGACAAGATTAAAATCGAGAACGACGAGATAAATCACCATTCAATGCACAATTCAATGCAAGAACGTACAAAGAAATGGATCGAGCCTGACAGCACCTTCAACACGACAAGATTAACATCGAACACGACGCGATAAAGCACCATTCAATGCACCATTCAATGCAAGAACGTACACAGAAATGGATCGAGCCTGACAACAACTTCAACACGACAAGGTTAACATCGAACACGACGCGATAAAGCACCATTCAATGCACCATTCAATGCGAGACATACACAGAAATGGATCGAGCCTGACAGCACCTTCAACACGACAAGATTAATATCGAACACGACGAGATAAAGCACCATTCAATGCACAATTCAATGCAAGAACGTACAAAGAAATGGATCGAGCCTGACAGCACCTTCAACACGACAAGATTAACATCGAACACGACGCGATAAAGCACCATTCAATGCACCATTCAATGCAAGAACGTACACAGAAATGGATCGAGCCTGACAGCACCTTCAATACGACAAGATTAATATCGAACACGACGAGATAAAGCACCATTCAATGCACAATTCAATGCAAGAACGTACAAAGAAATGGATCGAGCCTGACAGCACCTTCAACACGACAAGATTAACATCAACACGACGAGATAAAGCACCATTCAATGCACCATTCAAAGTGCACAGAAATGGATCAATAGATTAAAAATACTCTGTACCTACACACAGTGGAAACGTATAGATGGAAATGTGCAATGATAATGAAAGAGCATTTCATAGAATGAAATCTTTAATAAAAAATAGAACCTGCTCAAAATAGAACCAGCAAAGACACAATTAGTGCAAAATACTCGAAGATACACACAAGTCTGTGTATAGAGTAAAGATCAAACGAACTTAGACATGAAATGTGAAATGGTTTTGAATTTTACAGTAATACCAGACCTGTTTATAAGCCATTTCAGTGACCTTTCGTAAATCATCTTCGGCCCCTAAAAATAAGCATTTCTAAGCTCTGTACTAAAAATCATTGACTCAACAAAATAACAAAAATAGAGATTGAGTATATACATTTCTAATGCCTCCTTTTGGAACAAGAGAGAGTCTACAAAATCAACGAGGTATTATATGTTCATTGGCCCCTACCTCACAATTAAACATGTTTCATTGTTCCCTCCCGCAAGGCAAAAACATTTTGCTTCTGGTAGTATAAAATTTGACGTATGATATCTTTGCAAACGTCCCATATCAGAGATTAAACAAAGATTAAACAAAGATTAAACAAAGAAGAAAATATTTTTTTCAAACAAGAATTTTTCTTAAACTCTATAAGATGTTAAGAAGTATCCGTTGAAATTCATCGTCCTAAATTGTCTTATATATACAATTTTCAATACTCAAATTATTTAACGCTTGATATTGTTTCACACAAACAAACTTTCAGAAAATGATGATTTCAGATTGCTTGTTTGAGTTTTTTATCAAACTAACCAGTAGTAATTCTTTGAAAGGTCAATGCTTCAGCGACGCGCCCTCCCAAAGCCATGCACATGCGATCAAAAAGCTACAAAATTAAAACGAGGCTATCAGAGAAGAAAATGAGAAAAATTACAGCTCTCATCAAGATTAAAATCTTCACTTTACTACAGGTTAAAGCATTATTAGGAAAGAGCCGCAAAAATCCTACCAGTCCTATACAAATGCAACAAATCCCGGGGCTCGCACAGAGATAGCGTTCTCTTTCTTTTGTAAACGGGTACTTGTAAACGGGGACATTTGTAGCAAATAAGAAACACCGCAATGCGACCAGAATGAACAGCAATACACGTAAATCAATGAATGCTAATATTTCGCCCCGGCGTGCGGGGCAGAGCCAAAAAAGACATTAGACATTTACCTGTTCAGTTGTGAATAGCTTGATATCAAGGGGTAGGTGCTGCGTATATCCAAGCACTGAGTTAGTCCTTGGAGCGACTGATACCTGAGACAAAGGAAAGATCGACCTTAACTACAATTGGCTCGGAATTTCAACGTAATTCAAACGACTGAATTGATTCATGGTGAACTTATTAGAATACAGAGAAACATTTGAAGCTGGCAGAAACCTTTAAAATTGGCTCTGTATGTTTCAGCATCCAGCCAACAACAGCGTGTCCTGCTTCATGATACGCAATTATTTTCCTCTCTTCAGGTGATACTGGGTTACTCTTTTTTTCCATTCCTGAAAACAACGAGAGTGATGCCACTTCTTATCATTTAGCCTTTCTTCTATCATTCATTAACAAGTAACTTCAAGGCATTAGATCATATCTTGAAATATTTCACTTAAACTTTACTTCCAGAAAAGGAAATTTCTAAAATAATACCTGCTATTATTCTCTCAACTGCATAATCAAAGTTTGTTTGTGAAATGTTTTTCTTATTAAATCTCGCAGCGTGAAGGGCAGCCTCGTTGCAAATGTTAGCAATGTCTGCACCTGAAACCAGATAAGTTGCTTGCAGTTTGAGGAGAGCAACTGGCAAATGCACTAACAAAATTTGTACATTGATACATATACAGATAAATTAGATAAAAGGCAAGAACAGTGAAGAAATGAGAACTGCAAAGAAAGGATAGGATAGCAATGAGAAGCAGCAACAATGTTTTTATACCCTTTTTACTTAACAACATGACATAGGACAAAATTAAGTACCAAAATTTCGCTGGGTTTTATTTTCGTTGAAGCAAGGCAACCGAAAATTAATCCCACCGAATTTTTTTAAAACCGAAATTTCGTCTTACCAAAATCTCGATAGAAAACGCTAGAAAAATCTCGTTTTATAGCGATGCACCTTTAAAAAAGCAAGAAAAATTCCATGTTATTTTTCGAGTATTACCCTACGTGAAAACATCAATTTTCGGTTTCTGGTTTTCCTTTGTCATCAACTAATAAAATATTCAGCCCATTTTCACTTTATTCTCTTTTGCCCTCTACATTTAAAGAAATTTGAGTTGACGTTCTTGCCTACTCTTCAGTTCCATTTATTGGGCTAACATCATTTTCAATTTAATTTCAGTTTAAAAATAATCAATTTCAAAACCTTTACGATTGCGTTCCAGATAATTTTATGTTGAAGGAAGACATAACTTACAGAAAGTTCTTCATTTCATTACTCATCGAAATTTTTTTTTCGATCAAAATTTTACAAGTTCTTACAGACATTTACACAGAAACTTCAAAAATATGACCGGAAAATTTTCCACCAAAAATTAATCCACTGAAATCTTTGGCACCGGATTTGTTGGTACTTAATGTGTTATTTCACACAAAAAAATCATTGAATCCAATCAGAACACTGAAAAAAAGAATGACCTGGATGGCAACGCAAATCTACAGACTTCCAGCCAAGTTAACTTGAGGATAAAGACTGATGAAAAGAAAATTTATCGGTGGCAGAAATTATAAGTGGACCTACCACTTTTGCCAGGCGTGAGCTCGGCAAGGCGTTTGGCATAACATGAAGTTGGCTTCTCCAATCTTAGCTTTTTTAAGTATAATTTGAAAATGTCCTTCCTTTCTGGCAATGTTGGTAAATCAATATTTATGAGTCGATCAAATCTTCCCGGCCGAAGCAGTGCCTAAAACACACACAAGTCTTCAATAGGAAAGCAAACATCGTTACACCGTAATGGTTACACAGCGAGACATTAAGCTGAAACAAAAGCTGAAACAAAGCTGAAACAAAGCTGAAACAAAGCTGAAACAAAGCTGAAACAAAGCTGAAACAAAGCTGAAACAAAGCTGAAACAAAGCTGAAACAAAGCTGAAACAAAAAGCTTCAAAGTGCCAGGCTCGCCAGGCTAGACCTTATTTCACGGTATGAATAAGACATGCATTCTTCAAAGAACTTTGTCTTTTTCCGGACATAAAATTGCTGCAAAAGGCCATAGGACGGGAAAGTTTATGCGATAATACATGCAATTGCTTAGAATTATTTATAGCTAAGTGGAATCAACAGTTATTAGATTGTTATTAGATTGTAAAAGAATACCTGGTCGAGGATATCAGGTCGGTTTGTAGAAGCTAGTATGACAACGCCCTCCGTTGTGTTGATACCTAAGAGGAAAACAAAACTCATTAACAGGACAAAGACTGGTAGCAGACCTTACTAAATGGTAGCCTTCTCAGAATGGATGCCAAATAGGAGCTTTAGGCCACGTTGTAGGGAACAATGGTTTGGAGGACCTGGCATTGACCGATAAAATTGAAGGAAAAACAGCATGGCTAGTTTAACCATGGATTGGAGGTTAAATGGATGCTTGGAAAAATTTTTTGGCGGTACAAAATTTGAAAATGGCTTTAAAAAAGCAAACTTTTCATAAGGTACTAAAAGCTTTTGAGTCTGACACTCCTTAGAGGATGGAACGTCACAATAAGTTCCGAAGGCACAAAATGTAAAAATGTGTCTTTATTTCTGGATCGAAATAGGCCAATCAGAAAAAACACAAGCAAATGGCCGTTATAGTCGTCCAATCAGTGCCGCGTGCCTAAAGAAAAATTACCACTGGAATCCAAACGAACTCCTTCTGCCTACAAAGGCGGCTTTGCCGTTTGTATGTAGATCGATTCCAAAACTGCTAGATGCAAAGACGATTGGGCTCTGTCAACTATCTAAAACATGTCGTCATTATAGAGTTTTGCAAAATTTGGGTTGCCTAAAAGATGTTGACCGATGGCAGAATCACTTGTTTTAACAGTGTTTTATACTAACAAGATTGAGAAGGCTGTTCTCTTGGAGGGGCAGTTCTGTTTTGTAATGTTGGAATGAATATATTATTTTACATTCGCTTTAAAAAAAGCAAACATTTGAGTAAACTAAAGCTTTTCGTCTGATTGGTCAACCTTAACAGTCATGTGCTCACGTTTCCGATTGTCCTTTTTCGATCCACAACTGGGTATATATATTTGCTAACGTAGAGTTTTCGGTCTATGTTCTGACGTTTTAAATTCTGAAGAATGTCATATAAAAAGTTTTAGTTTACTCAAATGTTTGCTTTTTCAAAGCCATTTTCAAGTTTTGTACCACCAAAAGATTGTTTGCATATTATCATACCCTATTCCCCAAGCTTTGTGCAACCTACATTGCCAAAATCACACTGTCATGTAAATTCAAAAGCGATGGAACTCATTTTGGGTGAAATCCTTTTGAATGGATGGAAGGGCTCTCCTAGTACTGTAAACAACACGAATTATTAGAGAAAGGGGTGTAAATGATACAGGGGTAACCTTGTTGGTGAAAAAAAGAGATTGGTGGGAGTCTATAAACTCCTTTTTGTTGGATATGGCACCTGGTGATGACTGCCTAAAACAAAGGACTGATTATAACAACAATTTATTCAACAGTTCAAACAATTCTTTGATCGCATTAAACAATTCATATTAGGATGTGAAAGCTTTAATTTACCATCCATTTCAACAAGCAACTGGTTTAATGTATTCTCTTGTTCGCTGTTGCCTCCGGTATTGATCCTGAAAAAGAAAGGCGAAACATATGACAACATGCACGAAATGTAACCACTTAGAGATCCAAACGCTTGCTGATGGATAAACGGTAAGGAAAACAAGAAAGACTCTAATACGTCGTAAAGATAGAAAGAAAGAAAGAAAGAAAGAAAGAAAGAAAGAAAGAAAGAAAGAAAGAAAGAAAGAAAGAAAGAAAGAAAGAAAGAAAGAAAGAAAGAAAGAAAGAAAGAAAGAAAGAAAAAAAGAAAGAAAGAAAGAAAGAAAGAAAGAAAGAAAGAAAGAAAGAAAGAAAGAAAGAAAGAAAGAAAGAAAGAAAGAAAGTAAGAAAGAAAGAAAGAAAGAAAGAAAGAAAGAAAGAAAGAAAGAAGCGGCAAGCGGTGTTGTAAGCGGCAAATAGGGTATAAGTCGTACGTTGATCTTCTTGATTTGCCAATCGCATCAATTTCATCAATATATACAATGCATGCTGGTCGTTTTCTCGCCTGGGCGAACAGGTCCCTGACTCTCGCTGATCCTACCCCTGTAAAGGTATTGGTGTCATCAATGTTCATTATTTTGCATCAACCAATTTCGGGCCAGAAAACGATTTTTTTATCAAAAGTGGCCACAACAATGTCAATCACACTACTGCTTATTCTACCGCATCTGCTACACGCTATTAATATAAGAACGCTTTGCTCCAGTTTCAGCCTGGCATTTCTTATTTTTTCGCATTAATTCAGCCTAACGTGTTTCTTATTTTGTATCTTACTTTTAATGGAATTCCTGTAGATAGTCATGTCCGGACAGTGGTATAATGGAACATTTCGAGGCCCTTACGAATACACTGCTTGGGGACCCCTGCATTATGACATTCTTTCCAAAATCAAGGCAAAAATTAAGAAATCAGCGAAAGAAATACTTAATGTAAATAAAGATTGAATGATAAATGAGCAAAAAAGCAGTTTCAGATGGTAAACTATGTGAACAATGGAAGAGTACACATCGCAAATATGCAAATAGAGGGACCAAAATTAATCAATGGAATTTGAATTTAGTTGTTCAAAACCTTTGATAATTCGGGGTCTAATAACAATAGGGATATCGGAGATATGTGAGAGAATAGGGAAAATTTTAAAGAGGGGATAGGATACTGGTTCTGGGGTTACACCTCGAAAAGGTTTTTTGCTACCACAGCCACCGGATTGGCTTAAAATAACAACAAATTATATTTTGCAGCACCAAACATCTGGCTTTTTATTGCACCTTTCGCTGCTTCGGTAAGCTTTTTATTCTAAGAACTGTTTTTCATGTGTAATGTCTCGTCAAGGTCGAATATCCTAAGCGACAAAGAAAAAAGGAAAAGAAAAATATTGTTTAATGCGCTAATGGTGAATTTTGTTCGCTACACTTTATCTGGACTTTGAATGTTGTCACCACTGGTAACTGATTAATGATCCCGTGCTGGACGATACGGTTGTTGGTTGAACTTAAATGTCTATTTTTAGTTTGATACAGTACAGTAGATAGGTAAGTACACAATCAGGGTTTTATTGGTTGTTGTGTCCGTCATTTCAGACCAAGAATCTCTGCATGGTTTTGTGGGCGCGGGGTAAAATCGAGGGCGGCTTGTAAACAAGGGCGGTTTATATTCGAATAAACCAAGACAAAATAAGGGACTAGTTCACTAATGACCGAGCATGAAAAGCTCAGAAGTCTTATCTGTTTCTTGCATCAAATAACTCCCTAGATTTGCAAACAGTCTCTTCCGAATGAGATGAAAGCAACATCTTTCCATTATTTGATTGGATGCAAAAGACAAGGAGAGAAAACAAAATCTATACCTGCAAACATCTCCACAAAATCTGACCCCGCCATTGTAATAAATGGAACGGCGGCTTCCGTCGCAACGGCCTTTGCAAGCAAAGTTTTACCCGTTCCAGGCGGACCAACAAGTAGAGCTCCCTAAACAGATAATTCACATTTAATAGACATAAAAAGCTCATCTTTAAAAAAATCATGGTTAAATCTAAAGGCTTGTTTTCATATAACGTATATGCTTCAGAAAAATGCAGTCTCTTGCATAAATAGTTTTACCTTAGGAATTTTCGCGCCTAGATCAGTGAATCTTTTTGGATTTTTGAGGTAGTCGACAAACTCCATAATTTCTTCCTTCGCTTCATTCATTCCTGCTACATCTTTGAATCTAAGATTAAAGATTTCAACTTTATGTTATAGCGAGTAATATGAAAAATGATCGAGGAAATAATCAAAAGAAAATGCATCACAATCTGAATGGAAAGAAACTTTACCCAAGATCCTTTTTTGTTCCAGGCTCGATCACAGTTGCTTTTGCTTTTATATAAGATCCCTGGAAAATAATGGATAGGAAATATTTCTATCAAATAGGGAATTTTATAAAAAATAAAGGACACAAACTCGATACTTTCGATTCTTCTCATGGATGCAGCTTCACTGAACGTGGTGATGCTGCGATTGTTACGTCGACAAAAAACTCAAAAATAAGTGAATACATACAAACGGGTTGCCAGAGATACCGGATCTTCCAGCTGAAGCTGATCCTCTTCCAAGAAGGAAATAGAGGAGCCCTCCCATAATTGCCAAAGTTGCCGCAGTAACCAACACCGTATTGCTGAAAGAAAACCAACATTAAGTTCATCGCATATTTTGAATAGAGTCCTTAAGCAGCCATATGGCTGTTTAAGGGTTTGGAGAAGCCAGATGGTTTCAAGGGTATGAGAAGCCAAACGGTTTTAAGGGTTTGAGATGCCAAACGGTTTAAAGGGTTCGAGAAGCCAGATGGTTTAAGGGTTTGAGAAGCCAAACGGTTTAAGGGTCTGACAAGCAAAACGGTTTAAAGGGTTTGAAAAGCCAAATGGTTTTAAGGGTTTGAGAGGCCAAACGGTTCAAAGGGTTCGAGAAGCCAGATCGTTTAAAGGGTTCGAGAAGCCAGATGGTTTTAAGGGTTTGAAAAGCCAAACTGTTTAAAGGGTTCAAGAAGCCAAACGGTTTTAAGGGTCTGAGAAGCAAAACGGTTTAAAGGGTTTGAGAAGCCAAACGGTTCAAAGGGTTCGAGAAACCAGATGGTTTAAAGGGCTTTTCGCACAAACAAGAGCTGTATTCGTTTGCCTTATCAAGAAGAAAATCCAGTTTTACCCGATTCATTGTGGTTTCCAAACCCTGAAAGCCTGTGAAATCATTATTAGTCGAGAGAAAATTTGGCAAGCAAACATGTACAAAAGAATAAAAACATGGACTAACAACAATTCGTTTTCTCTCTGATACACAACTGGAATGTAATCTTTTGGATCAATTCCAAGCTCCTTCTGTACATCTTCAAATTTTTCTTCAAAACTATCAGTGCTAGAAACGCTGAATGAATAATGCGGCCCCGGCCCAAATATCTAGAAAATGAATAAGAAATAATAGCTAAAAAATAGAGTATTGAATACGTTGCTTGATAATATGCAGTGAGATTAAAAAAGGAATTTATCTTATTATAACTCAAGACTCTTCACAGTTGACATTTCAAAAAGGCTTTTGTAAAATATATGAATGAAATATTGAAAGAAATAAAGCTCGTTCAAATTAACCTCACTACATGCTAATTCTCATAAACTAATCAGCCATACAGAGACGTATCGGCTTGAATCGACCTGGCAGCCATTTCTCATAATTTTCTTGTTCACATTTGATTACTGCACCAAAACACCAAGCTACCAAAGCTACCAAAACAAGAGTTAGATAAAATGTTAACCAATGATTTAATAATTACCAAAAACCAGTGTAAACTTCATATTCAGCTTTATGTTCTGAATTTTTGGTCGTTTTGCAGCAATTACATAATGTAAACTCTATTTAGAATGTTGAGAGGTATGATTGCATAAAATAGTTCAAAGATCTACTTGCCTCTCTCCCTGATACAATGGCACCATTTTGCAAGTAAACAAACACCTTCTCTCCAGATGAGGCAACTTCAAGTTTTTGGACCTAAAATTGTTTTTTACATAATTCGCTAAAAAAATATGTTGCTTAATCATGAAAACCTGAAATGATCTGGATCTCCATTGAGAAAAGAACAACTGCGTCTATAGTCTATAGCTATTTATAAAATTACTCGAGAGCTCGTCAAATGCAAGTGAGTTGATGAATAGGGTTTTCAAAGCTGTAATATCATCACTGCTATAGAGCGGTAACAAGAGGTGAAATTGAATAAAAAAGCTGAAACAAGGTAACGATGCAAAACCTAGAAAACTCATCATGCTGATGGGTCAAGTGAACAGTGCAAATTGCAAATAACAACGAACCTCTCCAGTTGAAAGCATTTCTCTATAAAACACTGACCAAGAGCTTTCTGGTACTGGATCTATTGATGCTGTAAATATGTAAAGGGCCACAACTCCACCTAAAATCAGCAGTCGTCCCCAATTGAATGGACTGGGGTCTTCATCTGGAGAGCGCTGCTGGTCTAAAAACAAACCTAATATTAACCTTAAAAGAAGCACTCTGAGTCAAGAAATCGTCAGCAGAAGACGAACAACATTTTTCATAGTTTGAATATTCAGATAATAGAAAGAGACATAGTGGAAATAAAATTCTGGAAGGGGCAAAACGTCCAACTTACTAACCAAGTTTTTTGAAGAAGGGGAACAAAAAGTAGTTGTATTGATGCAACCCTTTTCCTCCAAACCCTTTTTCCAACCATTCTTACAAATTTTTAAGCAAAGTAGAGGCAACTGACTTGTTTATTTTGCAAGATAAACACATGAAAAATGACCATTTCACCAAAAAAAGATGGTTTAGACAAAAAGCAAACCTTTGCTTTGACTGTTGTGAGAAGATTGTTCTTCCTCTTCTCCCTTTGGAGAACTTGCTAATACCATCTGTGATGAAAATCTAACCTCTGCATGCAAATCAATATGCAAAATAAGAAAATAAAACAATTAGGCACAGGGATGAAGCACAGAAATAATTGACTCTCTTCTCTCCTTCTCCGCACTCTCCCGCAACCCCCTATTTCCTCGACGCCCTTTTTCTTCGACACTGACGCTCTGGAACCCAGGGTAGAGCGAAACTAACACTTTTCAGCGGTGCAAAATTTGAAAATGGCTTTAAAAAAACAAACATTTTACAACATACGAAAAGTTTTTTTGTCTGACACTCTTCAGAGTATAAAACGTCAGAATAAGGGTCGAGAGGTTATTTCCTCTCTGATACTGAAACACCTCTCTGTTACTGAAACATTTGTTTTAGGTTATGGTCTTGTGTTTCTTATTACACCCCAAACAACAAACAGAGAAAAAATCTTTGCTGAATTTGAAATTTTACACGCTCAATGTGCAAAACTTACGAGCCCGGCAATTTGGCATTTGCTTATAGCGGCCCTCCAATCGACCACTCTGATTTTTTATAGCACAGAGAACATTTTCAAGCTTTAAAATCTCTATGGGCTAATAATGACATCTTTATTAAACAACCTGATAAAGGGCCCGGGGTGGTTTTTTTTAACAAAATAGACTAAATCAAAAATAGAAAAGAAATTCTCTACCACAAAGAAAAATTATACAATTTGGAATAAAACGGCTAAACTAGAGCGGAAACTCCAAAAACCTCTGTTGGAACTAGTCAACTCAAAAGTGTTGACCACAGAATTTTTTTGAAACGAACATAAAAGGATGGTTTCCCTAAAAGACACAAGCTTAATGTTTAACTTCTTTGTCTATGATTGGCTCATCACAACATGAAATGGCTAAGTGGCTTTCTGAAGTTTTGGATCCTGTTCTTCAAAAATATTAAAAACCTTGCAGCAAGGATTATTTTACGCTTGCCGTGTTCATTCAAAACTTGAACATCAAAGCGAAACATCATTTATGTGTTCTTACGACTCACGAAGATGGCAGCATTGCTGGCTCTGAGAAAAAACAGATAACTTTAATCACGGAACATTTCACGGAAAGAAAGAATTACTCCCAACGATACCGCCTTGTGAAATGAAAACACCCTTTACTGGCGTAAAAATACAAAATGCAGCAGAAAGTTTAAAGAACAGGAAAAGCGTAGGAGATGATAACCTAAATGCAGAATATGTAAAGTACGGACCACCGGAAATACATGGAGGCGTGGCCAAACTGCTAAACAACATGGCAAGCACAGGACATAACCCAGAACAGATCTAACAGGGCATCCTAAAACCTCTCCAAAAACCAGGAAAAAAGCCAGGGCCGCCCTCAAATCTACGACAAATCATACTGTTATCTGTACTAAGAAAATTGCTTGCCATCTGTATGATTAGAAGATGTTGGGTCCGCATCAGCACTAAAATCCCAATCGGACAAGCTGCCTACCAAGCTGGGCGAAGCACGACTGAACAGGTTTTTGCAATCAAGATGCTAGCAGAGAAAGCTAAAACATCCAGCAACTACAACATCTACCTTTTACTGCTAGACATGAGTAAGGCCTTCGACACGGTACGCCGCGGAAGATTATTAAAAGACCTGCAAGAAATACTTCAACCCGACGAACTACACTTGATGTTCCTTTTGGTAAAGGATGTAAACTTGCGAGTCAAAGTTGGAAAAGAGAAAGGTGAAAACATCAAAACAGAAATAGGGATTGCACCGGGTGACTGTCTAAGTGCAGTACTTTTCATCTTCTACCTTGCCAGATCCAGGAATACCGAGAACGCAGCAGCAGACCCATCCAGAAAGAACAACTACTTTGAAATAAACCCTCAGTATGCTGATGACATCACATGAGCATCTACTGCGAAACATCGAATAGATCATATTAAAGAGACCATTCCTGGTAAACTTGAAGAAAGAAACCTGCGAATGAAGAAAATAGCATCGAGCAAAAGAGAAATGAAGCATGGAAAGAATGCAAAGTTCTTGGAAGTCTACTCGGTACAGAAAAAGACATCAACAGAAGAAAGATATTAGCAATCGATGCCTACAAAACGCTCAACAGCATTTTCAGCAGCAAGAAAAACTCCATCAAGATCCAACTGAGAACTTTGAATGCCTATGTAACAAGTGTATTTTTGTATAATAACGAAGTGTGGACACTAACGAAGAAGCTAGAAAACACCATTGACACCTTCCAACGTAGACACCTAAGAAAGACCCTACGAATTAACTGGCAAAGAAATACTACCAACAACGAGCTCTATGCCAGAACGAAATGTGAACCATGGAGTGAAATAATAAGAGAAAGGAGACTAACCTTGCTAGGACATCTCATGCGTTTGCACTCAGAAAAAACAGCAAGGAAAACCCTCAAAGAATATCTCAGGAAGGTAAAACGGCCACAAGGAAGACCAAAGACGACCTGGATGCAGACAGTAAGGCAAGATCTGGCCAGCATCGGAATTCAACTGGATCTCTCAAAAGAAGCACAAACATTGAATAGATTATCTGAACTGACACAGGATAGAAAGAACTGGTGTGGCATTGTGAGACGCGTCGTGCAGTATTAACTGCGTGTGACGTCATAGTAGCAGTAGTACGACTCACAAATGTTCCTCTGAGCAAAACCTTAAAAATATGTGCAGATGCTTTCCTTTCCAGAGTTAGTTTTCATTGAACTGATGGAAACTGTGATACGTTCAGTTGATTTTAGTTACAATGAAATGTACCAACAAGAAAAATTCTGACACTTGAATTGTCACCAGTGTATATCGCAAGCCAACATTTATCGGCCAGTACATACGCTGGAATTCCTTTTGCCCTAAACAACGCAAATTCAACCTCGTCAAAACTTTAGGTACTCAGGGCACTCATGATCTGCTCGAAATCTAAACAGAACGCAGAATCGGACCAACTTAAAATGATTCTTTTGGACAATGTCTATCCAAAAGATGTCATTTGTTCTTACACTAGGACAAGGATCGCAAGTTTTTGCTGTCTTAAAGTATGGTCCACCAAAGTGCCAGGTTCATCTTAAACCACCAGGGATTGGTAACTCTTCCTCGCGATTTGAAAGCCAGATTAAACAAGTTATCAAAAATTGTTTCTTTGTTATCAATTCTCACGTTGCTTACAGCACTAGGAGAGCCCTTCCATCCAATAAAAAAGATTGCGTTCTTACCATCCCAAAAAGTTCAGTTATTTATGAACTTGCGTGTGATTCTTGCTACGTAGGACGCACAACCAAAAGATTGGAGGATAGGAGAAAACAACATGTCCTCTTCAACATAAGAAACAAAACTGCCCCTCAAAATAAACAGCCTCATCGATCCTGTAGTTCTAGAAACACAGGAAAAAACTACTGATTCTGCCATCGGAGGACACCTTTTAGACAACCCAGATTGTGCAAAACTTTATAACGACGACATGTTTCAGATAATCAGATAATTTTTGTATGTTCAAAAATGTTTGCTGTTTTCAAAGCCATTCTAAAAAACGAAAAAAATAGACATGCTGAAATTTGAGGCACATTTACAAATTTTGATATTTTTCTCTCTCCAAGTCAAGCAGCACATTAACAAAAGACATTTTTTCTGAAACACTTGTATAATCAATTGTAAATTATTATTTTTAAGCATCATTTCTCTTCTATATACCACAGAAAAAGTGCTTTCCAAAATGACAGGCTTGTTTAGTATTATGAACTGTGACAAATGAACGAACAAATGACAATCAAACCTATCATTCAACAAGCTAACTCAATATTTCAAAAGTCAAAACAAGAAGCAAAACCTTGCTTTTGAAGAAAACTTACTGGTATTTATGGAAAAGGGAATAAAGAAAAGGTTAGAGAAATCACAAAAAAATGCATATCAATCATATTGGTTACCAAACATACCATTTCTATGATATCTTTTTGATCTGCCTCTAACGGTTTTGAACTCTAGATTTGTACCCTACAAAAGAATTATAATTAATCATTTTCTAAAATCATTTGTGTTCATTTCGTTCAAGTTATTAGGTTGTTAAATCAGGCAGTATAACCATATCCACAAACTTTTATCAAATCAAAGCTGCTTTTATCAAGGCAAATGGGCTGATTTTAAATTACTTTCAATTCTTGCTAATTGGTTACTGGGCATTTGGCTCACGAGCTATGAACACCCTTTGGGATGCCAAATTGGAAGGTCTGAAAAGTGCATTGGGGTTATAAAATAGTCCACTAATGGAAAAAAGTTAGCTGGTGATTAATCTGTGAATTTCCAACTTTCCAATCTAGCAGTTAACAAATGACTGGAAACACATCCATTGTAACCCAATCCGAGCACAGCATTCACTCCAGCAAAACCAATTATGCTCAGGCATACACAAGACCTTGTTGTGAACACCCATTCTCTGCAGACTTGGTTAGCGGAATTTTGGACATATAAACATATAAACAATAAAAAATGGCAAAAAAGAACAAAATAACTAAAAATTATATTCAGAGGATGATTTTGGTTTGGAGATATTTGTTTACAGGAGGACATCAATCAAAAATTGAGCTGATAGAGAAGATGTTCTTATGACATATTCTTATAACATATCAATAATACTATTATATAGAATAGAATCAATTTTTTACAGTAGGTTGAAGGGGTAAAGCCAAATACAAAAGCTGATTTAGACCTACTTTATAAGAAATGAATAAAAATTAAAAATTAAAGTATAAAATTATCAGTTAATGGAAAACTAATAGAACTGTGTAACATATGTTCATTCAATCAGTGGGGGTCTAAAAATGTGGGGGGGGGTCTAAAACCAAATAAAAAGAGGCTTCACTGATGGTTCTTCTCTTGATATTGTGCATTTTTGGCAAAAAGTTGACCCCCCTGCTCCATGGTGCATGTTGACCCCCCCTGCGTTTTTCTTTATGTGGTTTAAATGAGACAAGATCTAATGATTCATGGCAGCTGCATCTGGCTTCCATTTTTTAGACTGTATAGGTGTCTTGTAGCAATAAATATGGCCATGATAAATGTTTGATTAAGGTTATTATTTGTCTTATATACCTCAGTCATGAGCAGCTGTACGTTTTTTATGTGGACTTTCACAGCATTGTGTTTTCTAACAGTGTCAAAAAAACAGAAATGCCACCTGTATTAGCAATTCCCGATGCTTTCTTGATGATTTATCTAAATATCAAAGTTTCTTTTGCAGAACATCCATACATAAGGACAGAAAGTGAACTGGGAAGGAATGAAGGCCGTAATCATTTGTTTCATATTTACTTGAGCAATATAGTTTGCAATACGGGATAAGGCAGGTAGCTTTTGGTTAGCCAATTTCCATAGGGATGTTACTTGCGGTTTAAAAGATTTTATCATATACAACACCTGGAATTTTAACATTTTAAAAATTTTGTTTTTAAGCCATTCTCTAAACCTACAAAGCAATCCTGGTAATATGAAATTTGTCATCATGCTGGTAATGTGTGATCCATAAAATGAAAATCTTGCAGTTTTTATGAACACTTGATAGCCTTTTAAAAGTCATAAATGTATAAGAAGGTATCTATTACTGTTTGAAAAAGCATACAAGGTTTTCATAAAACCGAATAGTTTTAACGGAATTTTCGAAGAAGTTTCTTGAAAAGAAAATAATCTTACAAGAGGATACAAGTTTTTTAGGCTCCATTTTCATATGAGAACAGATTGGAATGAATCTGCTTTAGATTTTGAGTTTGTTAAATACGCACAAAAATGGAACCTAATATGCACCAAATGGAATGATAAAACAGACATACAAAAACGGCAATGGAAATTGGGCCTTAAGGAGTTATAATACCCCCTGAAATTGCAATCAAGACAACAGGCAACACCCACAAGATAAATTAAAAATTACTTAGATAGAATAAACAAGAAATCAAAAAATAGAAAGCACTCCTCAGGAGTTTTCTTGCTCATGAAGTTTTGTCCAAGTCTCTCTCTCTCTCTCTCTCTCTTTCTCTCTCTCTCTCTCTCTCTCTCTCTCTCTCTCTCTCTCTCTCTCTCTCTCTCTCTCTCTCTCTCTCTCTCTCTCTCTCTCTCTCTCTCTCTCTCTCTCTCTCTCTCTCTCTCTCTCTCTCTCGCCTTCCACAGCTTCTTTTCCTTTGTTTTTTTAACAGTTCTTGTTCTTTCCCTCCCCCTCTGTCCTTCAGGTACATGTTCTGCAATCCATGTGCTTATGCTCTTGTTGATTTTGTCGATGATTTTGAAGTTGCGGCCTTTGCTCTTGTTTTAGTTCAAAGATCTTGAAGATCTCTTTTACGTAAACAAAATGGAAGATTTGGGTCTGGGATATTTTTAGTGTTCGAAAGCAGCATTACCAGTTCCATAAGTTACTGAAAAAAATGTGCTTTGAGAACAAATGTCGCATTTATTTGTTTTCCTATAGCTGCTATCTCACTACTTCAGGATTAAACCCTCTTGGAAATTTATAGGAAGTGACGTAACATTGTTTGAAAACAAGGAGAAAAATTCCATTGTCCAGAATGATGCAATGTGAACGATGATAATTCAGACGTCATAAAATGTGTTGGCGCCACAGAGATTAGCATTCTTCTTTGTTCAGTGAGAAAGTCAGTGAGATAAATATCAAAACTCTTTGATATTATTTTCACTGAGTATCTTACTGAAAATGCTCCAGTGAGAAAGATTCATGTGCTCACACCAGTGAGATAACAGTTAATTTCACTAAAAAGTCAGTGAGAATATTGTTAGAATGCCAGGCTTTATTAACTATTGGCAGCAGTTTTCTTTCAGTTCCTATTTTCTTTAGAACTTCTTCATTTGTCACATGGTCTGTCCATGGAATCTTTAACATGCCCCGGTAAAACCACATTTAAGCTGCTTCAAGTTTGCTCCTCATACTCTAGTGTCTCTAATAGACGCCCTCCCCCATTGCTTATCAGTATCCCCCCTCTATTAAATTTTACAAATCAATTCATTTGATTCTCATTATTCGTTGATTTTCATAGTTTTTTGTAAAATCTTAACCGTACAAAGGAAACCGATGATTTTTGCCATGAAGTTGAAAGCTGTAAATTTGATTTACCTTTGTATGATTGCAATTTTTTCTAAAACTATGCAAGTAACTGAAACCAAATTTTGACACTATATTCCAAAAGGTACTTTTATTTCAAAGAAGGATTGCCGATATGAACACTCTCCTTCTATTGAAAGCACCCCCTTCTATTGAAAACTAGTTGAGACATGAACACTCCCCTTCTATTAGCACCCCTCCCTCCTCTTCTTTTGAAAATTGGTGGGAATGAGCGACCCCCTTCTATTACCTCCCCCCTTTCTAATAGAGACACTAGATTATGTGCTGAAAATATCCAGCATTCACTCGCATATAGAAGATTGGTCATTACTTAGCAGTTCAGCACTCTTTACCTTGTTTTAATTGTCATCTTTCGATTTGTCATTACCTTACTTAATTTTTGGAAACACCTTTTGCTATACCAATGTGTCTCTGGATTTCTGTGTCACATTTTCTCTTCTCAATCAACATGCTTCCCAGATAGCTTAACGTTTATACCTGCTTGATTTTGATGTCACCAATTTTGAATTCACACTTTGGGCTATCTTTTCTACTCACGACCATGCATTCTGTCTTTTTGCAATTGATAGTTCATAGTTAGCCCTATTTGCTTTCCTCAACTACCTTGCCTAATAATTCTTTGATTTTTTTTCTGAATCTGCTATAAACACCGTGTCATCTGCATAGCATATTTTACTAATGTTCTGTCCACCTTTGACCAAGTATCTTTGTTAATTATGTGTTCATTATTCAATCAAAGACCACTCTTCCTGATAAGACATTTATGGTACAATAAAAAACATCACATGTAAAGTTTATCGTGCTTTACTTAGTACAGTCTCTGTACCTAAAAATCCACGGACCTCTCTTGACATAGCTGTATTATATAAGAACTGTCAGGATCATTGTAGAAAGCTTAGAAAACCCTGATTCTCATTATACACAACATAAGTAAAAGGAATGGTGTCTGCCGTTTCTCGTCTGAAGAGCTACTATCACAATACAATAATATATCACTACGATAATATATTTCGTGTTAAAATTACCATTCTGCAAGTCCTGGCACAGTTGAGAAACGGTTTTCTACTTTCTGACAAGTCGTTAAATTTTTGAGCCAATTTCCATCCATGGGTCTTCCGACGACATGATCGACTAAGTAGCAAGTTATACAAGCAATTTTTTGCTAAAAAGTGATAGCGATAAGGATCACTTATCCATTTCAAATGCACAACCAAACTACTCGGCTTCTTTAACAGTAAATTCATGTTCAAGTTCTCGATCAATCAACAGTAAGCTGCATTTCATAACATTTATCTACCATCTTTATTGCACGACATGTTTAATGCGCCTCGCTTTGATGAACGTAGAGTAAGAAGAACCGCAGGATAGGCTGTCCGCCAGATTCTGTGAATCTTGCAATGAGTGTTGTTATGAAAGATATACAGGAACAAAGCAATACGACGACGAGAATCCAATGTCACGAAATAAAATTTTCAAAATAAATTAAATTTAAAGAATATACTTTTAATATCAACATCAAAAACTTTTTTTGAAACTTTGAATTTTTTCGTAGTTCTATAACATTCCGAAAATAAAGTTGTGACTAACCTCTGATTATATTGTATTTTACATCTGATTTATATCTGATTATGATTATATGGCAACCTCTGATTATAGAACGAAAATTGACGTCATATCGGATTCAGTCACCAAACACGTGGCCTTTCAAAGGAACAAACCAACATTTCTAACTTAAAAACGAGGCTATTTCAGTGGCGTCTCTGGTTGGCTAATGCAGATATTAATGTATGTAGATCAGTGGGGAAAATGAAGTCCTTAATTTCTAATAATGTGATTTTTGAGAAAATTCTCGAATCATCGACTGCACCATATTACGGCGCTGGGAGAACATGACTCTCCCTAGCAAAATAAAGTGATTTTCACCGATATCCTTCATGGAAAGGCGATTATATTTGTATTTTCGACTAATTTTATTTCGGGTGTTCTTTTAATGGGGGCTTATCAGGAATACTGTAATATTAACCTGTACACCTTGTTAAAAATTCGGACGGCTTTTGAGGAGCCTCACACAGGACAAGCAAGCACATACTTGGTTGGACGAATTCTGTGTTGGCAACCATTTATCATGATCAATTTATTATTGATCATTTCTTTAGATTTTCCGTGAATGAACAGTTTCCTTTTTCTCAAAGCCCTCTGGTGACACATTGATATGTTTGGTGACACATTGATAGCATTTGGTATCAAGAAATACTCCTACACTACCAGGACAAAAGTATTGCAACACCTGCGAAGGCGATTAATGGCAGATCATGCAATAACTTTTGTCGTTGTCTGATTAAGCTATTGTTTAATCAGCCAATGGCACGCAAATAAAATTGCAAATTCAATGATGCGCTAATTCGAATATTCAATTTCCATTTTTCAAAATTTAAAATCAGCAATTCAAGTAACTTTTAATCAAATAGACAATTTGTGGAGGTGCTTCTGGCTCTGATAAGTGCGGAAATTGCTTTGGAACTGATGCACAAAATTTGTTGATGAAATGCACTGGGATTCTGTTTCATTCTCATTAAAGTCTCTAAGTCAGTTTTTGTTTGGACTTTACAGAACCTTGTGGATTTCAAAACAGATCATTTTCATTGGGAACAAGAAATATTAGCTTATTTTGAGGTTAGGTCTTTGTGATGGCCGAGGAAGGACACAGAGTTTGCAGATTTTCAGGAAACTTTGAGTAAAAACGGCCTTGTAAGGGGGGTGTATTGCTTCTTATGATAAAAACTGCCTTCCCCATTCTCATAGCATTGATTTGATTCCACCAAAGAAACTGTTTTGCATTAGTTTGACATGTTTCACTGCATTAACTCGCACGTCGCTAGTTTATGATTTACTGATTTATATGCAGTGCCGTCGGAACGAAATTCATATTGGAGGGGGCTGCCCATTGTTTTCCTTCTCATTCAGTACACTGTTATAAAGGAAACATACTACAGTTTGACAATAATTGGGGGGCTCCAGCCCCCCAGCCCCCCCCCTGGTTCCGACGGGCCTGATATGGGCCTAACTGTACCCAAAGAAATACTCAAGGTGAAATGGAAAATTTCGGGGCTAAAGAAGTCGGGAATATTGACTTAATTTCTTGTTTCCTGATCTTTGACTATTTTGCTTTCATTTTCTGTAACAAGGTTCGCAATCTTTAGAAGTAAAAGACCAGTTACACGAAATTTTATCACAACTACTAGCTGCTTATCCTCTCGATAATTTGATTTCGCCATTGCAGATATTTTTTCTTATAACTGTGAGATTTTTTAGGTTAATATTGTAATTCTGAGTATTTTGAAATCCTCGATAAATTTCAAAGAATTTGACTGCTGGTTAAGCATTATTATTATCTCTTTTAAGGGGAATATTTCAGAATAGATATATCAGTTTACAGAAATTCAATTTCTTGGATGCCGTTTTCGTTTGGGTGTTGCAATACTTTCGTCCTAGTAGTGTACTTGAGTTCTCCCTGAAGACCGTTTTTGTTCTCTGCTCCCTGGCAGACACTAGCTTGTGTTCCAATGCAACTGGGGAACATGGTGACACGTTAATAGCATTTGGTATCAGAAAATATTCCCACTTGAGTTCTCCCTGAAGACCGTTGTCCTTCTCTGCTCCCTGGCAGACACTAGCTTGTGTTCCAATGCAACTGGGGAACATTGTGACACGTTAATAGCGTTTGGTATAAGAAAATATTCCCACTTGAGTTCTCCCTGAAGACCGTTGTCCTTCTCTGCTCCCTGGCAGACACTAGCTTGTGTTCCAATGCAACTGGGGAGCATGGTGACACGTTAATAACATTTGGTATCAGAAAATATTCCCACTTGAGTTCTCTCTGAAGACTGTTGTCCTTCTCTGCTCCCTGGCAGACACTAGCTTGTGTTCCAATGCAACTGGGGAACATGGTGACACGTTAATAACCATTGGTATCGGAAAATATTCCCACTTGAGTTCTCCCTGAAGACTGCTGTCCTTCTCTGCTCCCTGGCAGACACTAGCTTGTGTTCCAATGCAACTGGGGAGCATGGTGACACGTTAATAACATTTGGTATCAGAAAATACTCCCACTTGAGTTCTCCCTGAAGACCGGTTTTGTTCTCTGGTCCCTGGCAGACACTAGCTTGTGTTCCAATGCAACTGGGGAACATGGTGACACGTTAATAGCATTTGGTATCAGAAAATATTCCCACTTGAGTTCTCCCTGAAGACCGTTTTTGTTCTCTGCTCCCTGGCAGGCACTAGCTTGTGTTCCAATGCAACTGGGGAACATGGTGACACGTTAATAGCATTTGGTATCAGACAATATTCCCACTTGAGTTCTCCCTGAAGACCGTTTTTGTTCTCTGCTCCCTGGCAGACACTAGCCTGTGTTCCAATGCAACTGGGGAACATTGTGACACGTTAATAGCATTTGGTATCAGAAAATATTCCCACTTGAGTTCTCCCTGAAGACCGTTGTCATTCTCTGCTCCCTGGCAGACACTAGCTTGTGTTCCAATGCAACTGGGGAACATTGTGACACGTTAATAGCGTTTGGTATAAGAAAATATTCCCACTTGAGTTCTCCCTGAAGACCGTTGTCCTTCTCTGCTCCCTGGCAGACACTACCTTGTGTTCCAATGCAACTGGCGAACATGGCGACACGTTAATAGCATTTGGTATCAGAAAATATTCCCACTTGAGTTCTCCCTGAAGACCGTTGTCCTTCTCTGCTCCCTGGCAGACACTAGCTTGTGTTCCAATGCAACTGGGGAACATGGTGACACGTTAATAGCATTTGGTATCAGAAAATATTCCCACTTGAGTTCTCCCTGAAGACCGTTTTTGTTCTCTGCTCCCTGGCAGGCACTAGCCTGTGTTCCAATGCAACTGGGGAACATTGTGACACGTTAATAGCATTTGGTATCAGAAAATATTCCCACTTGAGTTCTCCCTGAAGACCGTTGTCCTTCTCTGCTCCCTGGCAGACACTAGCTTGTGTTCCAATGCAACTGGGGAACATTGTGACACGTTAATAGCGTTTGGTATCAGAAAATGTTCCCACTTGAGTTCTCCCTGAAGACGTTGTCCTCCCACTTGAGTTCTCCCTGAAGACCATTTTTGTTCTCTGCTCCCTGGCAGACACTAGCTTGTGTTCCAATGCAACTGGGGAACATGGTGACACGTTAATAGCATTTGGTATCAGAAAATATTCGCACTTGAGTTCTCCCTGAAGACCTTTGTCCTTCTCTGCTCCCTGGCAGACACTAGCTTGTGTTCCAATGCAACTGGGGAACATTGTGACACGTTAATAGCATTTGGTATCAGAAAATACTCCCACTTGAGTTCTCCCTGAAGACCGGTTTTGTTCTCTGGTCCCTGGCAGACACTAGCTTGTGTTCCAATGCAACTGGGGAACATGGTGACACGTTAATAGCATTTGGTATCAGAAAATGTTCCCACTTGAGTTCTCCCTGAAGACCGTTTTTGTTCTCTGCTCCCTGGCAGGCACTAGCCTGTGTTCCAATGCAACTGGGGAGCATGGTGACACGTTAATAACATTTGGTATAAGAAAATATTCCCACTTGAGTTCTCCCTGAAGACCGTTGTCCTTCTCTGCTCCCTGGCAGACACTAGCTTGTGTTCCAATGCAACTGGGGAACATGGTGACACGTTAATAGCATTTGGTATCAGAAAATATTCCCACTTGAGTTCTCCCTGAAGACCGTTGTCCTTCTCTGCTCCCTGGCAGACACTAGCTTGTGTTCCAATGCAACTGGGGAACATGGTGACACGTTAATAGCATTTGGTATCAGAAAATACTCCCACTCGAGTTCTCCCTGAAGACCGTTGTCCTTCTCTGCTCCCTGGCAGACACTAGCCTGTGTTCCAATGCAACTGGGGAGCATGGTGACACGTTAATAGCATTTGGTATCAGGAAATACTCCTACTTGAGTTCTCTACGAAGACCGTTTTTCTTCTCTGCTCTCTGGCAGACATTGACAAATCGCTTCTTCTTTTCTCAGAATAAACATTCTTCTTTGCCATTCTAAACTTCTTTTAGTTACTTGGCACTTTACCGTTACTTACCTTTTCAAGAATGAGTTTTTTCAAAAACATAGACAACATTCGAAAGTATATGATATTTGATAACATATAAATCCTAAATACAATTTTAAACGGCTAGGTCTACCGTGTTGAATAAGGGCAAAATGGAATTGACCGGTCTTATCTTAGTTTGGTTAACCTCATTTCAGAGAATAAATGACAGACTCAGTGATAGAGAAGTACTTCTATATCATTGGACAGACGATAACAGGAGATATTCAAATTATCTAATCCAGCAACAATAATTTTGGTTTAGAATTTTTATGATAATTAATTAGCTGTGTATAAGTTCCTTCTTGGATGTGATCGTTTCTTTTTTTAGTGTTGTTGGGCAAAATTCAAATGGTCACCTGCACTCTACGAGTCAAGGTTTCTAAGGCTATTATCACAGTCAATTTGCCCTTAAGTTAGTTATCTTGCCATTGCCATCAAGACAATTTGTGCTAAAGCTTATTGTGAGATTTGAAACCAATCTCATGTTCGACATTGAAAGGAAACGACGTAAACATGCCCCTCTTATCACAGATAGAAATTGTTGAAGTCAAGTTCATTTATGCTGCTAGACCTTCCATATGCGCTATTGGCAATTTTAACCAACATTTCAAAATGTTTATTCGTTGTGAGTTGCTTCTTGGTGATTTTAGTCGCTTTTGAAAGTGTATTTCTTATAAAACCAGGCTGGCAAATTGCAAATACCTTTGTGATGAAAGACATAGTGACCTTTGACATAGTGAGGTTTGTGATTTTAGTTAAAGAATATTTGAAAATAAAATGTTTCAGGTGCACTTGATATAAACAACTGTAAATTTCACTGCTTAGTATTTTTAACTTCGTGTTTTCTCTTTTTGAAGAGAGAAGCAGTTAGAAAAAGCGGTGGGTTACAATTAGAAAAAGGACTCAAAAACTCTGATTTTTGTTTGTTTACTCCGTTTTAATCCTCCCTTTGCTGACAAACATAAATGACATCTCCAGGCTAAAATTATGATATTTACACAATCTAAATAATCTACATTTACACATTTTACCAAAAAATAAGCCTAGAATAAATTTGAAATACAATCAAAATATCTAAGTTTAATATATTTATCAAATAAGACATCTAGTTGACAAGGAAAATTAGAATCTGTGGATCAATTTAAAAAAAATCAAATTGAAACAACGATCAGAGATTTATGGTTAAAACAAATTTTTGATGATCCCGTGTCAAAAAATAATTTACATGAAAATTTTGATGATAAATTTACTTGGAAAAATTATCAGAAAATTTAAAACAAGATAAATATATTCGTTAGAGCAGTTGTTTCCAGGAAATATGATTTTTTCTGTTAGTCACTTGTCAAATACATAGAAGAGTATCTTTATTGAGGAACGGTGAGTTGTACAAATTGCTGACCACGTGACAACATGGAGACTAACTGAAGAAAAAACTGTAACATTTGTTGACAGACTTTTAGACTACATCAGACGGTTTACAGTCAGAGTAATCCATTTCATGCACGACCGAGATAATTTATCAGTGAGACGAGATACCCATGTCATGCACGACCGAGATACCCCTGTCATGCACGACCGAGATACCCCTGTCATGTACGACCGGGATACCCCTGTCATGCACGACCATACCCATGTCATGCACGACCCTGTCATGTACGACCGGGATACCCCTGTCATGCACGACCAAGATACCCCTGTCATGTACGACCGGGATACCCATGTCATGCACGACCGGGATACCCATGTC